TCCTAGCCACAGCAGACAAGAAAAAGAAAGAAAAGGTATCCAAATTGGAAAGGAAAAAGTAAAATTGTCATTATTTGCAGACAACAGGATACAATATAGAGAATTCTAAAGACTCCACCAAAAAACTATTAGAATTGATAAATGAATTCAGTAAAGTAACAGGATTCAAAACTAATATCCAGAAATCAGCTGCATTTTTATACACCAATAACGAACTATCAGCAAGAAAAATTAAGAAAACAATCTCATTTATAACTGCATCAAAAACAATAAAGTACCTGGGAATAAAGATAATCAAGGAGGTAAAAAACCTGTACTCAGAAAATTATAAGATATTGAAAAAGAAACTGAAAAAGATACAAATAAATGGAAGCTAATACCATGTTCATGGATAGGAAGAATTAACATCATTAAAATGTCCATACTACCCAAAGCAATCTATAGATTCAAGGCAATCTTTATCAAAATAACAATGGCATTTTTCACAAAACTAGAACAAATAATCCTAAAGTTTATATGGAACTACAAACAAACTCAAATAGCCAAAGCAATCTGAGAAAGAATAAAGTTGAAAGTATCATGCTACTGATATCAAACTATACTACAAAGCTAAAGAATTCAAAACATCATGGTATTGCCATAAAAACAGACATATAGTTCACTAGAACTGAACAGAGAGCCCAGAAATAAACAAATGCCTATATGGTTATTTAATCTATGACAAAGAAGGCAAGAATATACAATGGGGTAAAGACAGTCTCTTCAATAAATGGTGTTGAGTAAACTAGACAGATACATGCAAAAAATCAACTAGGCTACTTTCTTATACCATAAACAAGAATAAACTCAAAATGGATTAAAGATCTGAACGTAAGACCTAAAAACATAAAACTCCTAGAAGAACACAGGCAGCAAACTAACATTGCTTTTAGTAACATTTTTTTTTTGGATGTCTCCTCAACAAGTGAAACTAAAGAAAAAATTTTGCACAGCAAAGGAAATCATCGACAAAACAAAAAGACAGCCTATTGAATGGGAGAAGATATTCACCAATGATACATCCAATAATGGATTTATGTCCAAAACATATAAAGAATTCATACAACTTACCACCAAAAAAGACAAACAATCCAGTTAAAAAATGGGCAGAGGACCTGAATAGACATTTCTCCAAAGATAGATGGCCAATAGACATAGGAAAAGAGGCTTAATGTCGCTAATCATCAGAGAAATGAAAATTAAAACCAAAATGAGATATAACCTCATATCTGTCAGAATGGCTATCATCAATAAATCAACAAACGACGTTGGCGAGAATGTAAAGAAAAAAGAATCCTCGTGCACTGTTCGTGGGATTGCAAATCAGTGAAGACACTACGAAAAACAGTATGAAGGTTCCTGAAAAAGTTAAAAATGGAACTATCATATAATCCAGCAAGCCCCTTTTGGGTATTTATCCAATGAAATCTAAAACACTAATTTGAAAATATATATGCATCCCTATGTTCACTGCAGCATTATTTACAGTAGCCAAGAAATGAAGCAACCTAAGTGTCAATAGACAGATGATTAGATGGAGAAGTGGTACATATATACAAAGGAATATTACTTGGTCATAAAAAAAAAAAAAAAGGAATAGAATCTTACCATTTGCGACATGAATGGATCTAGAGGGTATTATGCTAAGTGAAATAAGTCAGAGAAAGACAAATACCATATAATTTCACTTATAAATGGAATCAAAAAAAAAACAAAAACAAAAAACAAAATAACCCAACAAAACTGAAACAAACTCATAGTTACAAAGAACAAACTGATGGTTGACAATGAGAGGGAGTTAGGGGTCTGGGTGAAAAAGGTGAAAGGATTAAGAAGCACAAATTGGCAGTGACAAACTAGTCATGGGGATATAAAGTACAGCACAGAGAATACAGTCAATAATACCATAATAACTATGTATGGTATCAGGTGATACTAGACTTATCGGGGAGATCACTTAGTAACTTATATAATGTCTCAACACAATGCTGTACAACTGAAACTAATATAATATTAAATGTCAACTGTAATTGAAAAATAAAGTTTAAAAAAAAGGAAAAAATAGGAACAATCATCTATGATGTCGCAATCATCAGACTTGCAAAAACCAAAAATGTTTGATAAAAGATACAAACGATGATACCAAGAGGTGGAATAATAGGACCTCCCTTAAAATGCTGATGGAGTCTAAATTGGTAAATCACTTTGGGTAGCAATATGTAGTTAAGATCAAAGATATGTATATCCTTTCTTTGATCTAACTGATCTTCTAGTTATAATCCCTAGACCGGCATTACCTGAAAGCACAGTAGAAATGCAGAATCTCAGGAATGACCTTAGACCTACTGAGTCAGGATCTACTTTAACAAATCCCCATGTGATTTGTAAACACAGCAACATTTGAAGAGCACTATTCTCAAGAATCCTTGAATATGTGCCCAAAGAGAAATATTTATTGCACTATTTCTGCATAGTGAACAATTAGAAACATACCAAATGTCCCTCACGGTTATTAGTTAGGACAGTCATCCTGTAGTAACGATAATCCCAAAAATCAGTAACTTGAAACAAAGATTTATAACTTAACTCATGTTATACATCTGTAACAGGTTGGCAGGAAAGCTGTTCATTACAAATACTCAGGAATTCAACCACTATCTTAAAAGTTACCATTTGTCATGACAAAGGGAAAACAGAACTCTGGAGGTACTTGTAATGGAAATTAACTACTAAGCCCAAAAGTAACATTCATCACTTCTGCTTACATCTTATCAACCAGAAATAATCACGTAGACCAAGGAAGCCCAAGGAAATATAATTCTACTACATGCCAAAAGAAGATTCAACTAAAAATAGTGGTGAACACCACTTATGACAACTACTAGAAGTGTGAGAGGAAATGTGAATTATTCATATAATGGACTACTAAAGAGTAATTAAATCAAGTGAACTAGATCTATTTATATATAAAGAAAATAAGTCCTCTACTATAGCCGTCCCCAACCTTTTTGGACCAGTGCTCCTATGAGAATCTAATGCCTGATGATCCGAGGTGGAGCTGAGGCGGTGATGCTAGCACTAGGGAGCAGCTGCAAATACAAATGAAGCTTCACTCACTCGCCCGTTGCTCAACTCCTGCTGTGTGGCTCAGTTCCTAACAGGCCATGGACCGCTACCTGGTCCATAGCCCGGGGGCTGCGGATCCCCGCTCTACCAGTATGTAAGCCCTGTAAGAGCAGATATCGTTATCTTCTTTGTTCAGAGCTGTATCGCCGGCACCAAGAGCAATGTCTAGCATACGTTAGGTACTCAATTCATTTATGTTAAATAAATGAATAAGTGAATTTCAAAAAAATGAGAACAGAGAACCATTTATGTAAATGTTTTTAAAAATACAAAATAATACAACATGATTTACAGATATTAAAAACATGGACTAGGACACTCATCAAAATTTGACACTGATTTTCTCAGGGGAGTAGGAAAAAGAATAGGACTGAGGAAGGAGACTTAAATTTTATCAGTAGTTTTAAAAAAAGTGTTATCTTTACTCTATCCACAGGCATTTATATATATGTTATACATATTTACATATATATAAATCAAAACAGGAAAATTGTCAATATCTGTTAATTCAGAGAAGTTGGCACACAAGTTTTTTTTTTTTTTTAATCTCTGTAACTTTAGAACTTTACAATAAGGTTGTCAGGAAAATTATACTACTTTCTTATCTCATTGAATAGAATGTCTCATATTGTTCTATTCTACCTATGTCCTACATCTCATATTGTTCTGTTCTACCTATGTCCTTTTATGTGAACATGTCCTCCTGGGGAGAAAAGAATCTTGGGAAATAATTTTAAGAAATTCAAAAAATTTTGATGCCTCATGCTTTAGCTTTAAAAATCTTGATAATATATAATTTTTATTCATAATATGTCTATTCTTATTTCACTATCAAATACATTTTAATTCCATACTTTTCCCTCAAAACCTAGGTAAAATTAACATTCCAGGAAGATGTATCCCATTTATCCTGTAGCTTCACACGCCCCATTATACTACAAGGTATCTCAGGGAAGAGAGGGTGGGGATGCTTACTCAGTTTGAAAAGAAGAGCCAAAAAGTAATTATAGAGTTTCCTCTGAAATAAACAGAAAAAAAGAACACACAGGAAAAAAAATGCTCTCTGAATCTAACCTTTACTTTGCCCCCTTTGATGGTTAATTTTTATTTGTCATATTGGCTAGGACACAGTAACCAGATATTTAGTCAAATATTATTCCTATTTCTGTGAAGGTATTTTTTAAATGAGATTATTAACACTTAAATCAATAGACTCTGAGTAAAGAAGATTACTCTCCATAATGTAGATGGGCTTCATTCAATCAGTTGAAGACCTTAACAGGAAAAAGCCTGGGCTTTCCCAAGGAAGATGGAATTCCACCAGCAGAGTGCCTTCGGACTAAGACTACAATGTTTACTCTTCCCTGACACTCTAACCTACCAGCCTACTCTGCAAATATCGGACTTTCCAGCCTCCATAATCATGTGAACAAATCCCTTAAAGTCAATCAATCAATCAATCAATCTCTCTCACTGTACACACACACACACAGAGGTTTTGTTCCAATGGAGAACATTGACTAAAAGAGTTATCACTTTTCTCCTGAAAGAGTGGGTCTTCATCAAACTCAAACTATAAGTAGAGTGTTTTATTAAACATAATACATGAAAAAATACATCACATACCACTATATGTAAATAAGTCTCAGGATAAATCAATAGATATAAAAAAGGCTAGAGAAGATGTTAAATGAACTTTAAAAAACTGAATTATGTCAATAGCTGTAAATAAAAAGCTTTCAGTCACACTTTTTCAAAGGTTATGAGAAATATATACCTTAAAAACATTCTAAACAGAAATTTTAAATAAAGTCTATTCAATAAAAAAAACTTACCTTTTAGTTTTCATTTGATCCCTCAGTTTGCTATACATCTCCAAGACTTGAAAGAGAAAGGAAAAAAGAGCACACAAGCATTATTTAGAGAAAGTGAAAGACTAATTAAAGCTAAAGGAATTGCATCAAGGGCCCTACTCATTTCCAGTTCCTCACCTGGAAGACACAGCATTAATTTATCAACAGTGGCAGAAATATTTCTCTGTTGTAGTCGACACTGCTTCAGCTCTTCCATTGCTATTACCAGCTTGGCAAGAGGGAAAAAAAAAATGAATTATGCCAACAGCTGTAAATAAAAAGTTTTCAGTCACATTTTTCCACCCTGTGTTCAATTAATCAGAAAATCCCAGACAGTTTCATAGTAAGACCTGCCAAGTGAACTAAGGAACTGCCTTTCTCAACCAGTAAAACATTCCTGCACGGTTTTCTACTTTCTCCCTAAGATACATACTACGTGAGGAAAGGCTAGGTAAAATGAAATCCTAAAATTCAGAGGCTATCTGGGAGAAAACAAAAAATTTGCAGATTTTCTCCAGACCCTACTCAGACTCTTCATGATTTATGATTTCATCACTCTTCTGAAAAGATCTTATATTTCTTCCATCAGCGTAAGAGTCCTAGAGGAAAATAGTCCTTCCTATACAGCTTCAAATGAGTCTTGTAAATAATCTTCAACTAAATCTCGATTTCAACAAATAAACCACACACTTAGAAAGTTGTAGCTTTTCCAAGAGTTCCAGTTTAGTGAAGAGTAACTCCCTTTTCTTCTCATAGCTGTTTTAAAGGCTTCCATCTGAAGTCATACCACAATATAACTAGAAGAAATTACACTTTCTGCATAATTTAAAATGTGTGAGACAAACTTTTAAAAAGCAGTAAGCTACCTACATAGCCTCCTATAGTATTCACCTCATACTCATGCCTAAAAATGTTATCAGCCTAGATACCATGCAAAAAAGAACAAGAGAATGGCCCTGATTAAGTCACTGGTAAAACAATCAAGAGCCAATCTTAAAGATTACTAAATTTAAACAATAAATAAGTATTAGGCAATATGGAAGGTACATGATACAGAGAACAGAAATGGACCACATACAAGTCAGAAAACCTGAGTTTTAGTACCAGCCTTGCCACTTACTATGTAAACTTCAGCAAATGTTTTAATTTCCTCATCAATAAAATAGTGTGGATACCTGTCTTGACTTTGTCATAGGTCTACCATGAGGATTAAGTGAGAAAATGCACATGATGACTTAAATGGTGAGTATATCAATTAATGGAATCAATGATTCACTTTTTAAACAAAAATTTATAGAGCACCCACTTTCTGCCAGTCACTGTTTAGACAGGTAGAGGGGATACAGTAATAAATAAAACAAAAATTCCTGAACTCATGGAGCTTAATTTCTAGTGGAAAGAGACAGACCAAAAAACAAACAAACAAATATATAAGTATATACAGTATAAGATATCATTGCATGACAGAGAAAAATAAAGCAGGAAAGGTGAAAAGAATACAGTGGGTTGAGAGTGAGATTGAAATTTCAAATAAGGTGGTGAGAAAAGGCCTCATTAAGCAGCTAACAAAACGGAAAGGTCTTAAGCAGGTAAATATAAGGAAAAGAGCATTTTGGGCAGAGAGAACAGCACTGGCCGCATTATGACTACTCAAGTGATATAACTGTATTAACCAATGTTATCCCAATAAACTTAATAATAATAATAAAAAAACACAGCTAAGGTTGGCTACATCCTTTCACATTAAGCTTTCAAGTGGCTATATTCATTTAACTCAGATAAATATTAGAAGAAGCGACAATAACGTCCAAGTTCCTCCAACATACTACTTATGGTGTTACAAGCCACTAAATCAAGAAGATAGTCATCAAAAGAGAATGACAAAAAACAGAAAAGATTTTTTTCAAAAAGTAAATTGGCCTTACTTCCTTCCCCTCATGTTGTAGTTTTCTATTAGTATCCGTCACTTGATTCTGTGGAGAGAAGACAATTTAAATTCATAAAAAAACAAACATTTAGACAACAGTTGGATAAGATAAAAATTTACAATGAAAAGACTAAGGATATTATTTAGATAGTTACAGTATTCCACCACATTTTGGTTTAGTGGCATCCTCTTGTGTTTAAATTACATCAACTTTTCTAATATATGTTACATGGCCATTTCAACAATAAAAAGAATAATTTATTAAGAGATATGTTCAGTTTGTAATTTTCCAAACTAAAACACTATAACAACTAAAGACCATACTTTAATTTTGAAAAGAAAAAAAATAAATAAATAAAAAATAACTCACAAAGAAATATCATCTCTATTATGTGTAGGAAAAAAAAAACAAATTTTATCATAGATACTCTTCACCAATATATTCCTGGAAAACTTGAGTATAAATTGAACTTTATAACTCAGGTCAAATTTTCCCCATTTATTATCCTAATTTTAGAAAATGTTTTATAATAGTTCTTGTAGGATCATTAATTCTTAACATACCCTAACTTTTCCATCTTTCTACTTTTCTAAATTAATCTTTCCATCAGATAGTCAAAACTATGTGAGCAAACTTTAAAATGATCTAAGTTCATAATTCAAAGAAACTGGCACCGCTTTTTCAGTAATCTACTTTTTAATACTCAATTGATATAAAAAATATTAAGTGCATGAAATAGTAATTTTCTTACCATCTCAGACATTACCAAAATGAGCAATTTTAATTTCTAAAGCTTCTTTTAACAGAGGCTTTCTACTCTTCTACCAATAACTGCCACTCCTTATGCTGTTAAGCATTTCCTTAACCCAGCATTTCCTATTATGTCCCTTAGAACAACAAGATATATTAGTTAATAGCTACTCTGCGCAAACGTGTGTGTGTGTGCGCGCACACACAGAAGATATGTTTGAGAAATATCACTGAACAGGATAGTTTATTCAAGATACCCGATACCTGGACTATCATATTTTCAGAGCAGATTACCACATGCATCCTCTTTCAATGACAAAATGAAATCTGACCTCCAGAAAGTCTTTATAAAGTCATAAAAAGAAGCAAAAAACCATCAAATTCCCTCATTATTTCATAGTACCACATGTTACACATTTGGTTTTTTTGGACTGTGAGCCCAACACAAATTAAGAGTGTGATATAGTCATCTAAAATGCTGATCTAAGACAATGGTAGTAGAAGCATTGTCTAAAACAGGGGTCAGCAAACTGTTTTTGAAAATGGACAGGTAGATAGTCTCTGTTTCAACTACTTGATTCTGTCATTCTAGTAATATGCAGCCATAAACATAATGTAAATGAATGGGCACTGCTGTGTTCCAAAAACTTTATTTACAAAAATAGGAAGCAAGCTGGATTTGGCCTGCAAGACATAGTTTCCTGATTCTTGGTCTAGAATAAGTGAGACAGTAAGGCTTTAAGATCACACTATGAGAATTACATTCAGATGCCATATTTCAGTTGCCATATTGACAACTGAGGCATAATTAGATGTGAATACATTTGGAGAGGCAGTCAAACCTATACCATGTGAAAAATAGATAAAGGAATTTTTAACCCAAAGGTGGAGGGGTGGGTAAATATTCCTTTGGAGACACTATACATCATACCTGAACAACGGCTGTCCTTCAAACATCTGAAGAACTATCAGAAGAAAGGTGGTACCTAAAAATAGTGCTTATTAAACAAATAAACGGATATTACTAGAAAATAGGATTAATATCAGTTCAATTAAAAAAAAAAAGCTATCAAGTAATGGAGTGTGTTGACTGGAGTAGTAGTGTCCCCCACTTCACAATAGTTATTCAAGAACTATTAGATTTTTTTTACCTAAACTGGAGATCTCACAAAATTCAACCTTCCATAAATACTACTAAATTCAGCCTCACTGTCTCTGGGAGAATATCTTGTTCTCCAAGGTATTCTCACCATCTTCAAAACTTTTTTTTTTTTTTTTTTTTTTAACCTCAAACTCATTGTAAGAAACACCTTTTACACTGCAACCCAGTGTACAAGTATAAGGAACACACATGCTCACACACAAAAATCGAAACAAAACTTTCAAGAAACAATGTTTACATTATACGTAATACACTTTATTATTTTTATTCTATTCTATTTCATTTCAATATTAGTTAAAAATTCTGACTGTGGCCTACTAAACTGATTTCATGCAAACCAAGGTTCTAAAACATACCCATAGGAGTCTAATAATGCTTCTGATAAGATAATTGCCATTTCAACACTACTTCAAAATAACAATGAGAAGAAACTATAATGTTCCTCTAGAATGCTACTTCTCTTGATTCAGAGATTATATCTATCTATATAGATAGATAGATATGCTGTAAATCAAAAGAAATACTGAGAACCCTAGAGAGTACAGTTTCTTTACATTGTTATGTTAAAACAGGACTGACAGTAGTTAGTGCTTAACCTTTTCTATTTTCTAAACTCTTTTCTGGAGTTTAAGAACCTAAATTTTACAGGTTCTTAACTCAGGCTAAATGAATCCTCCTCGAGCACAGCCTTCAAGATTCGAGCACGGCCTCCAAGATTCGCTGCTAGACTTTAATCCCCTCAATTCCCAGGGTGAATAGAGCCCAAAGCAGCCAAAACCCCTGAACTGGCAGCCCCTAGTTTTCGCTTTCCCTCAGGGGCATCCTGAGCAATTTCAAGAAATCTGCAACTTGAAACAATTTAAAGGAAGAAAGCGAAGGTGTGCACCACCAAGTGATATCAGCAATCGGTGAGCACTCTGGGCAATATTCAGTGCTACCTGTCAAGGAAGTACTCCAGCACAGGACTGCTCGATCGAAGACAGCATCCTGGTGCTCATCATGAACAGGGGGCACAGGAGGTGGAGGAAGAAGTCTGGAATACAGGTATCCAAGGAGCATAGAAAAGAACCCAAGGTGAAGATGGAAAGCTAGGATGGCTGAGTAAGGACCAACAGCACACACAGCTCCTGGCAGGAGGCCCCTATCTTTGTTTTCACACGTTTCAGATACTTTTGTCCATTTGAGGCTATTTGGCCCCCAAAAATTCAGCATAACTTTTAATTTTAAATAGGATCAATTGTTCATACTTTTAATCTGCTTTATACAGTAAGCAAACATTTCTAATACTTTCCCCTGTCAGATATCGTTCTATAATATATTGTAGCTTATTCTTCTTTTAAATGAATGTACTGTGATTTCTTTTACTAATCCTCTATTAAATGCCTTTTAGGGACATTTTAAAGTTTTACCTGTTTAAAAAAATCACATAAACATCCTTGTGCATGCCCCTATATAGCCTCAGAATAAATCTTAAAACTATGTGGAGTTTTAAATATTGATAAAAAAGGTTGTAACAATCCATATCCCAACCAGTCACTCCCTTGTTGATCGGTATCATCTCTAATCTCAAATATTTTTTCATCTTTGTCATTTTACTAGGTGGCACACTACTGTTCAAGTTTCCACTCCTTTAGTTTTTCTAAATTGTAGACTTTCCTTATCTTTCTTGTGTACATTGTATATTAATGTGTTTCTCAGTTATCTATTAGTGTTCATATTTTCCTATTAAGACTTTTTAAATGTTAAGGATCTCAATAATTCGTCATCCATATTTGTAAATATTTTTTATTTATTTACCCTTTATTTTATCTTTTATTTTAATGTTCTCATATCCATCAATTTTTTTCTTTCTGGTTTAGGAATTGTGTTTAGAAATGTATTTCTCACTCTCAAAATTACATAAATATTCATCTATATTTTCTACTTGTTACTTTAGGGTTTTATTTTTTACATTAACTCTTTAGTTCATCTGAAATTAATTTTGGTATATTGAATGAGAAAAAATCTAATTGAATTTCAATTACATTAGTTAAGCATTAAACAATATTAACAACAAATCAGAAGGGTTGTTATTTTTAGAGGGGAGAGTAGAGGAGGCAACTCAGAAGAGTACAAAAAGAGAGCTTTAATTGTGTTAGTAATGTTATATTTCTTGTGGGGAGGGGGGAGCTGTCCATAGCATTGCTATTCTTATTAGCCTGGAGTACTTAGAAAGAGAAATACTCAAACAAAAAAAGCCAAAATCTGCTATTTATCATCTTTTCAAGGGTGCTGGTTGCTCTTAAGTCCACTGTGTGGCTGGCCCTTAAATCATGGTCCTCTTCAGGAATCATATTTGCTCTGCTTATTTATATGGTCCAATCCCATCTATCATGCCATCTGACATGAGAACAATGTCTAGCTAATAATCCCAAAGCCCCAGCACAGCATCATACTGGGCCAAGCATTGACTTAATGGTCTTTGGGTCATGAGGTTGGAGTGCTGGTGGTGGTATCGGTGAGGCACAGACGGCTCCTTTGACTTGACAGTTTCCTTATTAGTGTTGACCTACTCCTGTTTGTCTAGGGACGTGATGGAGCAAATGCAGAAAAGACTAACTGCTTACAGATGAGGAAATCTAACTTAGAGAGGTCACAGAGACAGATGCGTGTCTATTTAGGCTCACTGAGTACTTGCATTCTGTTCTGCTGCCTCTGGGCTTTTGTCCTGTATTTTTCTGCAGTGGGTATGCCAGGCCTGACACATGGCTGCCTCGGGGTTTTGAAAGATGTGATTTTCCATATTTATTACTTAAGAAGTCATACACATTTCTCATTGAGGCCTTTGACCGTCACACCACAAAGAGGCCACTGACTATGCCAAAAGGGTCCCCATGCTCCTGCCATTCTAAAAACCTTTTTGTTTGTTTGTTTTCCCTCAACCCCCAACTCCTTCCCATCTGACAGTCACCAGTCTGTTCTCTGTACCTATAAGTTTGTTTTAATTTTATTTATTTTTTTCTTTAGATTCCACGTATAAGTGAAATCATATGGTATTTGTCTTTCTCTGTCTGACGTATTTCATTTAGCATAATACCCTCTAAGACTCAGTAGTCCCCAATCTTTTTGCCACCAGAAACCGGTGCTCCTATGAGAATCTAATGCCTGATGACCTGAGGTGGAGCTGAGGCAGTGATGCTGATGCTGGGCAGCAGCTGCAAATACAGACAAAGCTTCGCTTGCTCACTTTCTGCTGTGCAGCCTCGTTTCTAACAGGCCATGGGCCGAAACCAATCTGTGGCTGGGGGTTGGGGACCCCTGCTTTAGGTCCATCCATGTAGTTGCAAATAGTAAGATTTCTTTTTTTTTTTTAATAGCTGAGTAATATTCCTTTGTATATATGTACCACAACTTCTTTATCCAATCATCTATTGATAGGCACACTTAGGTTGCTTCCATAGAGCAACATTATATTTAAGATAGTTGGAGAGTTATTGTACAGGTCCATAAACTCTTATATGAAACTTTGCGATCCCCTGTGTTTTGGACTTCAGAATTTTGGAGATTTTATAAAGATAATACGGTATATACTGCATATTATATAACCAGTGGGCACTAGGACAGTATCCCATAATCAAACGCATTAACATTTCTACAGCAGAGTACAAAAGTTTACATTAAATAAAATAAATTAAAAGTTTGATAGCTGCATGTCTGTTCAGGTCAGATTTTGCAATCAATTAGCTTTTAAATCACTGTAGCTTTAAAATATAATTTAACATCTAAAAGCCCACTTCTCCCTCAATAAAATTGTTTCTTTGCTTTTCTAACCAATGTATTCTTTTATATGAATTTGACACTCAATGTCAAGTTCTCCCCAGGCCCTGAGAAAATCTTTTAAGGGTTTTAATTCAAATTCTAGTAAGACCAAAACAAAACAAAGAGAAAGAAAAAGGGGTCCCTAATACTTGAGGGGAGAATATTAGGAAGCTAGTCAGACATGAGTAACAGGGGAACACAGGAATAGGGAGCCGGCCTAAAGAATGCTCAAAGAACATCCTCTTGGTAGTTAGAGACTCCCTCCTGCATCCCCAGAGACGAAGGAAAGGAAGGTCATAGTGTTAGCTGGCCTAATCTGGCCACAAATGCATGCACAGAAAGTACTCCTCATAACTTCAGCCTCACTCTACAATCATTATAACATCATGACTATGCCTGGAAGTTCATGAATCAAATTATAATAGACTGAATTCTGGGTAAGCACATGCACACTAGGCAAAGTTATGTAGCGGCCAGGTGTCAATCAAAATGACCCCACTTGCCAATCACCTAGGAATGCCTTTGGAACCACCCATCATGGCCCAAATATAAGGCAGACAATCCTGCTTTTGGGTCTCTTTTTTTTTGCCCTTCTGGGTTCTCTCTCTTTTTGGTGGCCTTTTGTGGCCTTTTTGCCCTTTCGCAGACATTCTGGACTCTTTCTGTTGGTTACAGTGCTGGAACCATGTGCCTCCTTGGGGCATACTTTGTCTTTCTAAAATATTTTAAATAAAACTATTAAATCTCAAAAAAAGAAAAAGAAAAAGAAAAGAAAGAAAGAAACAGAAAAGAAGGGAGGGAGGGAGGGAGAAAGAAGTATAAGGACTGGAAAGAAGGAAATAAAGCTATTATACTTGCAGATCACACGAGCGTTTATAGGAAAAACTGAAAAAAAAAATCTACTTACAAATTATTAGAAATAACAGACGAGTTTAGTGAAGTGGTTAGATTTAAGATCAATAAGCAAAGTCAGTTATCCAAGATAAGTGAATTTGCTATGCCAGGGGGACCAGACTAATATGGCTAGTCTCCTTCCTGAACTTGAATCTGTCATATGAAGAAAGAACATTCATGCTTTGGTAGAAGACACTCCTCAATTATCACTGATTTTTTTTTTCCTTTAGTCTTAGGCTGCCATCCTACAAAGACTTCTACACCATGCCCTGCAATGCTGTCATTGTACAGTGATGGCAAGGAAGTAGATGAATGACATGAAGAGTCAATTGAGTTTCTCTTTGAAAGAAACTATTACTGATTCTGATACTGGTTCTTATCCACATGTAGTTATCCCAAATAAATTTAATTTGAGTATTCTTTTTAGCTAAAAGCCATAATCCCAATTATCTATTTGTTTTTTACTATACAAAAGTCTTTACAACAAATATGTAACCTGCAATGTATTTCCCACTCCCTTAATGCTAATCAAAACCCCAGCATAGGACAGAAAAACAAGTATCACAAAGAGTCTCCTTACTTTGAGTTTCTGGGCTTCTCCTCTCACTTTCAGCAGTTCAGTTATAGAGTCCACAAAGCCCTGGTAGTGAAAGTTGCACATTTTCTCAATTTCTCGGTCATGATTGCGGATGCGAGTTTCAAGCTTCTCCATGAAGCGTCCATGCTCCTCACCATCATAGACAGACCTTTAAAAAGTGGCATGAAGATTACACCAGACTTAATTCTAAGAAATAGAAAAAGAATTGCAAATCCAGAAGCAAATTTATTTGGAAATTAGATATTAAAGTACATAAACCACAGAGTAATCCAATTGTATTAATATTGCCCCAATGCTAGATGAGTATTTTTTGGAAAACTCAAAGTTTTGCTTCCTTATTCATTCAAAAATATTTAAGTGTTTGACAGTATTGATCATAGAATTCTCATGATAAAATGAAAGGACTGAATTACAAGTCCTTTACACCTTTCTTTCTCAATTAAATTAATCTAGAAAAACTCAATTTTGGACACACGACTCAATTTATTCTATGACTATACCCAAGAAGCTGACACTGCTAGAGAAAAATCACATAGCTATGCCGGTTAGACTCAGTTCAGCTATATAACTACAAATCTAAATTGGGTATAACAAATACCACTAGATAATACCATAACTAAATCCATCTCCCACAACCAACACTGCCAAAAATCACTTTGTAGTATCCAAAATAACTATGTGTGAAAACCTTACTTTCTCCTCTCTTCAAATGCCCACCCCCTCATTCTCAGCTGCTGATCACAGGAAAAAAAAAATATTTCTTCTTTCACTAAAATCAACCACCCTACTTCCATCTGTAACTTCTACCCTGTCCACCCTCCTATAACAATGGGAAAAGTATTTCAAGCTCTTACCTACAGTTAATCCTTGTTGTCTTAAGAACATTACTCCTACAATTACTCTTTTATACTTCCCCTGAAGCATATATTTCTCCCACTCTACTAAATCATCCTGAGTATATAACATGACTTAAAGAAATCTGTCCTTATCTACAGATTTCCCTCCAGGTACTGTCTTATTTTTCTGCTCCTCTTCCCAGCAAAATTCCTTTCCACATCCTCATCTCTCAATAGCTAGCATTTAGTCCACCTAACAGCAGCACTTTCTTCTTGAAACGCTCTTTTCTCTAGACTTCAATGATACCACACTAATGTGGTTTTTATCCTTTCACTGGCATGCCTTCTCAATCTCCTTTCTGGGCTCTTCCTCCTCTATTATTTTTCTCAATATTCCTAAAATCTCTTCTCTTTTCTAACTATGCTCTCTCACCTATCAATCCTAATCCCATGACTTTAAAATACCATCTATATAGTGATGACTTCCTTCCCTGAGAATTAGACTCAAATATCCAGCCACTATTTAAGAACTTCGATTAGATTTTTTAAAGCCGTCTCAAATTTAACACAGGAAAATATCATCTATCACCAAACTATCTCCACTCCCAGCCCTGTTCCTCCACCAAATCTCCCTGCCACTGACCTACCCCATCACAACTTAATGACACTATCTGTTGACCAAATCAAAAATCCAAATCCAGGAATCACACCTAATCCATCTCTTTCTATCATACATCCCATAAACCCTATCCCATCTATTAATTAGTCCTGACAACTATACTTCCAAAACATTTCTTAAAACTGACCACATCTCACCTAAAACTGTCCACTAAAACCCTACTCCATATTTGTATCACTGCCACACTGGACTAGTGCAGTAGCCTCCTGAAAGTCTCCATTCTCTACTCCCTATCTGCCCCATTCCACATCCCAATGCAGACACTCGCCACATAGCAGATAAAATTATCTTTTAAAGCAATAATTCAGATGTTATCTCCCTGCTTAAATCTCTCCGAAAGCCTTTCTTTACAAAAGGAATAAAAATCTTAAATCCACGACCTACATGATTCTACATAATCTAGCCTCTGACTGTCTCTCTTATTTCATTTCTCTCTTCTCTCTAGTTTCCACCCCTAGCTTCCCTCCACCTTCTATACTCCACCTACACTGGATTTTTTTTTTAGCCTATTCCTGTCTCAAGAATTTTCTTTTTGCTGTTTTTATATTAGTAAAGCTTGTCCCCTATATCTTCAAACAACTTTTGCTTTCTCATCACTCATAGTTTGTCTATCTCTCCCCCTACTCCATCCAAATTAGACTATAACTTCCAGAGCAAGAACTTTGTCTGCTATATTCACCACTGTACCTCTAGAATAGTGCTAGGCAGGTAGTAGGCAGTAAGTAAAATCTGTTGACTAAATGAATGACTAACATCTCTAAGATTTCTTTATTCTCTGAAATTTGTTCAATGCATAAACATATTTGCTCATTACTAACATTTTCTGGTTCTATCATCATTTATAGGTACTGAATCGCTACCTTGAGCCTGTGGATCAGAAAGCCTGTGGATCTCTTAGCAGGTCAGTTCTACTCTCCAAAACTTAGTAACCATAGACAATACACATACAATTTTGGCTTCCAGTAAAAATTCTGAACACTTTAGAAAAGCCAGGGCAATCTAGATTCAGTCTCCTTCCTTTGAAATAAAGGGAAGAGATCTTCCAATAAATTATAAACAATCCCTGCTTTGACAGTGAAGACACACTACAGAATAACCACTTGCCTGAAGGAGCTATTCAGAATACACAAGACAAATTACCATTGATATTTCAACTAACCTCAAATAATCATAACTTTCCTCTTTCAAAGGAAAGGTAAAGAACAGTTTCCAAGTAAAGACACCAATATTCCTTGCCATTTGAACAAGAGGAATAACCACTGAAAACTCATCAATCTAAATGACATTAGCAGATATTATCATATTAGATAACTCTTGGTTTCAAACTCAGTTTATATCTTGAACAAGTAATATTTCTAAGTAGTAAATCTATTTCCTTCTAGGTAAAACTTTTCATTTTTTTTCCCTCCAAAGAGCTACATTACTATCACAAAAGACAACCTCAAGAAAAAAAATCTGAAAGTTAAGAAATTTACAATATGTTAATAACGACTCGCAAGCGCCTCGGAAGCGCCTTGGAAGCCAAGCAGCTTCACTCGCACGTCATCGCGAGGCCTCTCGCAGCACTGCAGTACAGGGGAAAAGTGGGCCTTGGGGAATCCGGAAAGCAGCTCACAGCGGACTCCCTCTCCTGGTAGCCGCGCGCAGGCTGCAGAGGCAAGACTGCGGGCCGCTTCCTGCTCTATGCCACCGACAGCTACTTGGCATAGACACTGTTTCAAGGACTCCTGCTGCCAGGTGCAGCTGGGTGACATCAGTCTGCTAACACATCAGAGTGAAGCAGAATGTGTGGCTCATCTCAGATTTTGGTCATCACAGGTGGATGGATCCCATGCGTCTTTAGTAAACAAGTCACCTTTGCAGCTAGCACCAGTGCCGGCTCCACGCCACTGAACCTTCTTTAGTCTAGATTGCCTTTCCTCCATTTCTTGGTGTGTTAAAATGACTGAATATGAACCCTAAGAACTCCATGAACCTGGGCTAATGGGAGACTGCAAAAAAATGACAAAAGATCCACCAGAGGACATCTGGGGGTGGGAGGGATAAGGGGGAAGGGGCTAGGGAGAAGGGAAATGACTAATGAAGCCAATTAAAAGAAGTATTGAAATCTGCTTTCCATCCTCATTAACAATTAGCAGGGCACTGGCCAAAGTTTATACCCTGTGTTTTACATTAACAACATTCTATTTGGTCTTTGTATATTTAAGTGATGTAAGGAAATGTGTTTCAATCAAAACTGAACATGAGATAAAGGAAAGAGATGTGGCTTTTATGATATTTAATCGCAAGCACTTTTATTGTATCTCTGTAAAATACAATGTATGCACGCATGTTAAGTGTCTTCATCCTCATGTTGCTATCTCACGTGAATTAAAAAAAAAAAGGAAAAAATTAGGTTTATAGCAGCTACTGCATATAAATTTCCCCCTACTTCTAATTTTCAGAATGAACAAAAATATCTTTTATTTGTGATATTTTCAGAGACATTTGCTCTAGTATAGTATATTCAAACAATAAAAACTTTTTTAAAAATGACTCCCTAGCTCCCTGAACTTCCTATAAAAGAAAATATAAATCAAAGAAAAGGAACATGGATTTTAGCTGCCTGACTGTGTGGCCTTGGTTTCAGCAATATAATTAGCTCTGAGTCTTTGGCCAACTCAGTTAATCTCTCTGACCCTCAGCTTTCTAATTTAGAAAATAGGAAGCAATCAATTACACAGTCTCTAAAGTATCAGCCCAGCTCTAAATCTCTACAATTCACTTCCACTTTCAAGTTCAGTCAATAATAATGTAAAGATCATACATTTTCAGACTACTGTAAACAGGTAGTTCAAAACAAGTTAATGAATTTTCTATATCCTTGTCATTAGCCCCGGCCTGTTTCTCCTATCTTAAGGCCTTTATGAATCTAATAGTCTCTTTAATTATAATAATGTTGAATAACATGAAATAAAGGTTTACAGGAGATCCCCTGAGTATCTTGAGAAGTTATTTTAAAGTGAGAATAAAATGTAAAACTCATATATTTAAAACAGGAGTTTGGGACTACATTTAATAAACTTGTGTATGCATCAGGAAATCCATGATTTCCAGATTTTATGTAAATGTTAGGTGCATAGGCAGAAGCACATACATGTAATTTTAAAGAAAACTAATCCATAGTTTCCATCTGGTTATCAAAGAGGTTAAAAACTGCTGGTTTTGTTTCTAGGTGACTACCAATAGGAAAAGGCAATTATAGATCACTACCTAACAGTTCACTTGAATCAGCATTTCGAGTACATAATCAGCCTTAGTGCAAACCGATATATCTAACAGACATAAAATGCTAAAAACACAAATAAAGAATAAATTCTGGAAAAGTCACAGACCTACTTAAGTTTAACCTAACATTGCTAATCAACAATTTACTTGAACAAGGAGTAGCTTCTCCCCTGCCTCCCCAAAAATTACTTAAACTAGAGAAACACTGCCATCTAGTGATGACCCATTTCTAACATTCCTTGAAATTTAAATTTGATGTGGCCAAGAGGGACTGCTTAAAAATCTAAAAACTATATTCTATACTATTTGCTGGCTAAAGACTTATAGCTATTTATTAAAATATATTTTATATAAAGTAATATTTAA